ATGGCTGAAGTAGATCTTTGTAAGCTTCCTTATAATCAAGTTTTGTTTTGTTGTTTTGGTTTGTTTTTTGTTTTAATCATGTTAGAATTCTTGTAATGTCTTGCTTACTTCTCTGTTTAGGAGATTGCTGTCCTTGTCTAAGGATTCAACTTGAGATGTGTTTTCCATCAGAGCAGCCAGACTAGCTTGAAGCTCTGATACTTGCACAGTTTATTTGTCCTTGGGTACTGTAGCTTATCTTAGAGATAAGGGTTGGTAGCCCAGGAACGAAGTAATGGAGCATGCAAGGTCAGCTACTGCAGTAACGAGAGTTAGAACTGACCGGACACCAGCAGCACATCTTTTCATCCTTGCCTTTTAGTTTCTCCACATTTGATTATTTTACTCAGCAGAGAACCTAACAAGATGCCTCTTGACTTTTTTTGTCTTTCCTTTCCACTTTTCTGTAAGACATAAGCCACATCTGTTTCTTACCAGTCATTTGATGCGCACTTCTAACAGAGAATATGCTTTATTTTTTGGAGCCTTTCTTCTGCTTTGTTATTCATACTGTGATATTTCTCTTAAATACTTTCCAGTATGTAAAATCTAGGGGTTTATCAAAAGCAAAACCCAACCAGTTTAGATTCTTGTTGAATAGGAATGTTGAGACCGGGTGATGATGAAGTTTTTATTAACATTAATGAGTTTATAAAGGATTGATCTGGCTAGATGTGTTTATTTTGTTTTAAAGTAGTGTAAATATGAAGATGAGGTGATCTAGTAGATCTAGAATCAGAAGAACAGGTTCTTTTTAAAATAAATTAAAATTAAAAAAGAACTGCTCAGCCCCTCTCTTCTACTAAAATCAAAGTGACACTGGTATATGGGTATGTTAAATATTAAATGGCCTAATTACCCTTAAAGTTTTGCAAAACTAATTCAGGCTTTGCTGGATGACAACATTTTCAGAGAGAGTGTGGCTTTGAAGCAGCAGAAGCTGACATCACTCCCAGGTGTTAGTAGGAAACACAAGAGGTGCACCTTGCTTGCCTGAAGGTACCAAAGATGAATGTTAGTTCAGAGTCAGGGTTGCTTTGTGATCTCCCTAGCTGGTTTTATGTGATGCTTTTCTTTATTTTATTTTTCAAGGGGCAGGGAATGGTAAATGCAAGTCAGAGTCAGATTTATCTTTTTTTTTTAGTAAAATCCTTTTTCTTCATTAAGAAGAGCCACAAAATGTATTTGTTCAGACTCAGTGAAAAAATATCTTCCTTGCTCACCAGTACCAAAATTCTTTCTCTTGAACCACATCCTCTTCGCTGTTTTGAGTCAAACACACGACTGCTTCTCTCCCTTTTCATCTGTTATATGTGGAATCTGCTAGTAATTTCTTTTCTATTTTGTTTAGTTAATTCTTGCTCAGATCGTGCTGTGTGGTCAGCAACCTCTCCTAGGTTTTGGTTATCTCTGCATAAAAGGGGCTTAATTTACTTAGATTTTTTTGATGTACTCTTTGACACTTTATTAAGCAATGTATTATGTAGATATACTTAACACATGGCGTGTTTTGCATGCATGTAAGCTTTAATCAGGTATATCCCAGCATGCTTACTGTCTGTCACAAATATTTTCTATGCAAGTTTATCTTGTAGCATTGGGAATATACAGTACTGTGTTACTGTCTTGTGCCTTTGTGCTGGTAACGCTTAGGGTCCAATTTCCTTTTTGTAGCAATCATTTGGGCAATCATCCATTCCCTTCAGGTCCTGGGTACAAGTATGGTCTGAACAGTTGCTGGCTCTGCCCACCTGTGCCAAAATGTCTTAATTTGGGTAGTTGAGTTTACCTTTACAATCTTGGCAAAATTGTAGTTTGAGTATGAAAACAGCAAAACTAGCAGGTGACTTCAAGGTTTATTTTCCGGGCTAGATGGGGTAAATTTTGTACCTGCAAACATGCCTTCATTTGAGGTGTGTAAGCACGCGTGTATCTCAGTGGGTTGTCAGAAGCTTTGGACACAGTTGCGGTGGAGCATCAGGATTGAGCATCCAATAGAAATGTAATTGCTACTTATATTAGAGAAACAAATATAGTTTTAGGGGTTTCTGTTGTTGAGCATCTGGGAAATAACAAGGGGAGTGAAATCAATAGTGGTGGTGATAAAACCTGAATTACTGCAGTATAGCGAACAGGGCATGTTAGTACTAAGACATAATCTTGCTAGAAGACACAGGTGAATGGATTCATTTAAAATTAAAATAAACTTTCTGCTCAGTTGTTGAATGTAGGGGTTTTTTTGAACAGTAATACATTAAATTGTCATCTCTTTTTTTTTTTATAATTTTTTCAATGTGGTGGTTATTTTATATGTTTTGGAAATTCTCCTGGTTAACATGCTGGGTATATCCCCAAACACTCGAAGAAATATTAAACATATATGCAGCAAATTGTTATAGTTTAAAACTGAGGGTGAGCGAGGCTTTTTGATTTTTACAGAGACAAAGGGAAATAAAAAAATATATAAGGTCTGAATTTATAAGTCTATGGGAGTCTATCCCACTCAGGGAGGATTATGTGACACAAGAGATTGTGCGTACCAGGGTAACTGTTATTTCAAAGGTGAGCTATGGGTCACCCACCCTAAAAAGCAGATGAGGAGAAGGGGCACCAGCCTTTATATGAGGTTCAGCCGTAAACAACTGGGAGCAATAACTTCCTAAACTGTTGGCACCTACTAAACAGATCTGTCTACACTCTGAAGCAGCTCCTGTAAGACCTCTGTAACTGATTTTTAGTATTTTCTTTTCAAAGAAATGTTTATACGTATCTACTCTGTTATGTTATTGATTACTATATGACTTGTTATTGTTGAGAAGGATTTATTCTTCTAAACAAATAGAACTGAATAATCTCTCCCATTTTACCTAATCTATATCCTTATAAAGAAGTGTATTTCTTTCTTCCTCCTAACCACATCTCTTCCAGGAATTAAGTGGTTTTTTTCCAGTTTAGAAGACTTAAAAATCCACCATTTTTTTTTAAATATATAAAAACATGTGTCTGCTACTGTAAGTAGGTTTATAGGTGAAGATTTTCATGAATTGGACATAGCTGTGGGCAGCTGGCTCTGGGTGGCCCTGCATGAGCAGAGTGGTTGGACCAGGTGACCTCCAGAGGTCCCTGCTAACCTCAACCGTGCTACAGTTCTTTTATTAATATATGGATAAATAGTGTTAAAATTTGTAGCAGCAGATGTGAACAATGTCTGTAATGTGGTTTGAAAGCGTCAACTGTAGTCCTTCTTCATAGGGTAACATGTAGGTAAAGATATGATTGAGCTTTGGAGATTTCCTTCAAAAACTTAATTCACTGGCATTTCATTAATAAAGTCAGACTTTATTAACAGAAAAATAGCATAGTCATAAGAGTACTGAAGAAGCCTCTAGATGGCTGAATATTTTTATGTATTTTGAAAACACCTCTGGAGTAGTAACTGAAACGTGAGAATTACAAAGTAGTCTTGAAATAAAGGGTTGCAGATTTATTATTTCAGCTTACACATTTACTGCAGAGAACTGCCAGTAGTGGAGAGCTGCTTATTCAAAGTTTTACTATAATATCTCAATGCACAGTTCTAAGCTTATTTTAGGATTTAGGACATGCAATTGTATACCAGTTGATTTCTAATCATTATTGTGGTATCAGAATGGTTCTCAAGTGTTCATTGAGTCTGTCCTCTTGGAACAAAGAGTATTTTTATTCCCTTTTTTTCATGCGCGTGAAACAAAGAGTATTTTTATTCCCATTTTACAAGGGGGAAATGAAGGCAATGAATGATTTAATATCAGGAGTATTAGTGACTTTGGGCATACATGTAGATCCTGGTTTTTCTCTTTTCCCACACGTGTGTTTTTCTGCTGTGTCTGGCTTTATCTACAACTTCACTTCAAAAGTGCTGACTTCAGCTGGAGCTGTAATGCTCAGTATTCCTGCAAGTCAGATCTGAAGATCTCCACAGAAGCACCAGAAGATAAGAAATCTCTAAATAATGGCCAAATATACAAAAACATTGAACGAACTTTTTAAGAAACTTGTCCATTACCTTTTAGTGATCCTGTGCTGTGAGATGGGGAATCACTCACTCCAGTTAGCTCTGCAAGCAGCAGTGGTACAAGGACCCTCTGGATGAGAAATAAATGTTTTAAATAGTTGTGAAACCATCTGCAGCTTTCTGAGAGGAAAGAAGAACTCACTCCATATTGCACTGTGAATGTCAGAGGAACTTTGTGATTATTTTGGGGTTTGTTTTGTTTTCCTTTCCTTTTTTTTTATTTCCACAAGGCATAGCTATTCCTAAATGGAGGACACTGAAGCCTTACATCTAGTGATGCATATTTTTCTTCTTCTTTGTGTAATTTGTGTAAAGTTAATTGTTGTGGTGTGGGTTTGGGGTTTTTTAAAATTCTCTTTCATGTACAGTTAGTGGTTGAAATCTTGAGTGTACTGAGAATAAATAGATGTGCATTTTTTTAATGGTCTCGTTATCTTATTTTTCCTGAAGTCTCTCATATTGATGCTCTTCAAAATAAATCTCCAGTCTGATGTTGAAATAGTTGAAGTGGTGAATTTTAATTCCATTATTTATCACAGGAAAATAATGCCCTTCTTAAGTACTGCTCATTTACTGGCTTTTCATTGCCTTTCTTCCTGATAAAGCAGTGAAGGAAGTGTGGTATCAGAGCATTTACCTCTATAATGTCAAAGCATGGCAATGACCTGAATAAAGCTGACACAGGATAGCTTTCCAGACATATGGAATGGTAACAGTCAGATACTCTGATTAGTATAAAAACACGTGATGTATTTTCTCAAAAGGTTTATTTAAAACTCATAAATATATCATTGTGAGAGTCAGCTGGGGATGGTAATGAAAGCATTCTTTTCGGTAGTTGTATAATAATGATAATAACTTACAGAGCTAAGTTGTTAACACTATGATTTTATTTGTCTTTTCACAGCCCACATACTGGGTGGCAGAATTACCAACCTGATGTGCCCCGGATTCCCACTGCTTGCATTTCTGTGGAAGATGCTGAAATGATGTCGCGGATGTCTTTCCAGGGCGCTAAGATTGTTGTGCACCTGAAGATGAGGCCTAAGACTTATCCAGACTCTCTTTCCTTTAACACCGTGGCAGAGATAGTTGGAAGCAAGTACCCAGAGCAGGTGAGTGAGCATATGCAAAAAGAGACTTATTTTGTTCTTTGAAAATATGAAAAATCAAACCCAAAGAGCAGCCCTTCCTAAGAAATCCCTCAAACAAGTAATTCTTATTCACCTGCTTTTCTACATTTCAGACATCTCTGCTTTTCAGTCTTTTTGTTTAGGTAGCAGGTTTGAAACCACCAGGCTCATTTCTAGTGTACTAGGATGTATTTCAGAAAATCATAAGAATTACTGTGTTCTAAGAACAGGAAATACAACTAAACTGTACACAGTTTAACCTCCTCCTTTTTGTTTCCCTGTCTTAAATCTCACTTTAAGTAGTACCATCTCATAGGCTAAAAAGAAGCGTGTATGTAATCCTAGCACTGTAACTAATGCAGTTACTGTTTTAAATAACAAGTAGTAAGTTAAGTTTACCATAATGATTTGTGCTTGGAGTTTGCTTCTCATTCTGTTAATAATGTTCAGGTAGTTTCTTGATCAGTCAAATAATCCAGGTTCCGCTGTCCAGGAATAAAATTGTTTGCCTGAGTTTTTCCTCAAATGCAAAAATGAATGCAGGTTGTCAGTTTAACTGTTTCGAAGATGATTTTTCTTGTGCAGATCATTGCTGTGTTTAGCAGGAGTTGTATGTGTCTTAGTTTGGAGGAATAAACCATCTGCGCTAAAAATTATCTGCAAATTCCGTTTGAACACTAGTTAATCCTGAATTGCTGGTTTCCATTTTGAGTCTTCTTGCTTTCTCTTTTCTTCCAACTTCTTAGGCAAAAATCATACAAACTGAATTCGTGATGCAGAAGGATTTGTGCCTGGTGTGAAATCCTCTATGTCTGCTTGCAACATGGAATGAATTTTCTGGCAGTATGGCTTATTGTGAAAATGCTGACGCAACATCAATCACAGCACCACTAGAAATTGCTGCTAGAGCACAGCTACTGAGCCATGATTCTTTTTTAGACATTTTCTAACTTCAACAGAAAATAGGAATGACTGTCTCTGTCCTTTAAACCAGCATAGTTCTTTAAAGATTTCATCTTTTCTGAGATGGTAGTTCTGTAGCTCTTGCTTGTGGTATCTAGAGATCCTCAGAGTTAGCATGAATGTGTAGTTTTAGAAGCTTGATCACTAGGCAGGGAAAAATAACTTGTTTGGTTGATTGGTTTACATGCCATCACCTATGTGTTCATGAAACACATGTTTACCAAGTTAAAGACAATCCAACTTCTAAATTTGGATTCAGTTAATTCAATTTTACGTCAACTGAATTTTTAGCCATGCTTCTAACCAGCTGATAGGCTATCTTTCCTGAGTTATGTTTGGTGTTTGAAATTTTAATTCAGGTTATGAAGTGTCCAAATGTAACCTTCAAAGATGCATTAAGGTGCTTGCCTGTACTTGATTTTCTGTTTGCTGTCCTGCTCTTTTTCTTTAAGTAATGAAGCTCAGTTTTTTGAACACTGGGTAAAGATTTATTTGCAAGCCCCCTGCTGATGTTAATGGGAGTGGTAGTGGACACACTTAGAAAATGTAACCAAGAAACAGAAAAATAAAACAAGTGAATGTTTAGTTTTTTTAGTACTCACTTCCTCTCGGAGCCTTAATGGATGCTTCACCACACTCATTCCACTTCGTTACTCCGGTAAAAACGGGAACTATCTAGCTATTTAGGCAATAAAATACATTGCAGACTCAACTCTTACAATGCCTTTTATGCCAAAGCATTTCAAAATGCAGTACAAATCCAGGGGAATAGAAAGGTGCCATTTCCACGGGCCAAAATTTCAATTTAAGTTTTGAATTGAAACAAAGGCAAATCTGGATCTCTGAACTCTGGGTGAGAAATCAGCAGCGGGTGGTATTGCTCTTGCAAAGGTCTGAAGCAAAACACTTTGAAATTAGGCTGAAGCCTGTGAAACGTAACTGCTCACAGGTATTGCAGCAAATTGTAACTTAAAGAACTGGAGCTTAATTGAAAATGAGGGTCACTGTAGGATAGTGGTGAAGTCTGCTGTGAAGTGACACAGTTCTAGATGTAACTGCATGTTAGGCGTGTTTGTGTTCATTTATATATTGAACAGAATTTAATACACTGCTTGATTTATAAAGAATGTATTAATTCCTCCTGTGAGATTTTAGCATGTTTATTAAAAATAATCACTGAGAACCAAAGTCATATTTGTCTGAAAAATTTTATCTGTTACAAACTATCATGAATATTATTACTAAAATCCTTGAAAGGGGAAAATGGTTTATTGCTATTTCTTAGCTGATTTTTTTTTGGTTGGTTGGTTGGTTTTTTTGACTACTCTTACAGCAGGTCCAATTCATTCCTTCCCTTTTAAGTTATTTTTCCAAGTGTTTTGTGTGGATTCTTGCATATAGCAATGGAGGGCAAAAAAGTAAAACTAGAAGAATGTTAAGGAAAACAGAAAAAAGTAGTTTAAATACTTCTCACATGTTTTCCTCAAAGTTTGCTTCAGTTTAGACTTAGTGTTCATAAAGTCTTGTAACTTGTGCATTGTTTTGCTGTTCTGAGAAATGTTTTATATCATCAAAATTAATACTCAGAATTTTCAAACTTGCAAACTTGTGTTTAGGCACTTAAACACACCTATATTTCTGAATATCTTAAAGCAATAAATATAATTATTTTTTTGTGAAGCAACAAGATCTGAGGAATGCCTTCATCTTCAGAAGCGATGATATGACATGGGTGCAGCTGTCCTGTTGCTTTTAGAGGCAGCTCTGCAGCCAAGGCACGCAGGTACTTATGAAAAGTTAACCCACTGATACTTCAGGTTTCTGTTCTGATTTCGCCTTTCTGTTGAGCCAGCCAGGAGCAGTAAGCAAATGTTGTAGCATCAGTTGCTCTAAGAAAAATGTGCTTTGAAACCTACTGTAAGTTGCAACATTGTGCTACCAAGTTTTCAGGTGGCGTAGAAAGCATTGGAACAGAAAAGGGAAATGGATTTTGTCATGCTGTCAGTAAAGCTCAGTGTTGCACCAATGTCTCTGTTCTGTTTATCTCTATTATTCCTTCTAAGCTAGGGAAGGGCTGCTCTCTCCAGCAGGACCCTGGCTAATGTCAGAGCAGACATGAGTCTGCATGTTCTGAGCAGAGACATCCCCTGTCCTCGCTGTCTGTCCTGAGGTCCTCATTTAGTGCTTGCTGAGGCCTGAATCCTTGTAAGTGCCCAAAAGAGGTGAGCCCATGCCCATAAGATAATGAGTTCAAGATCAAGCTTTTCTTCATATAAACAGGTTGGAAGCAGAACCAAACATGCTATGACTTGATGCCCTGGCAGCCTTTCTGAGCTTGGGATCTCTTTCTCATGGTGCTTAGGACAGTGGAGAGAGTGGAAGACCTGTGGGTTGTGGGACTTAACATATTTAAGCCTGTGTGACTGCTGACAGTTGAGTCAACAAGTATTTGAATTGAGAAAGGTTATGGCAGCAGAATCTGCTGAGGTCCAGGCTGTTGCAGGTTAGAGACAATTGCAGTCCGTGCTTGACTTTTATCTTAGAGAAGGAGTTTTTGAAGCACACTGTTGAACCTGGGACAATGATGTTAGCATCCTTTTGTACTGTATTGTGTATTGATGAGATGTTTTATTTATTTTTTATATTTTATGTTCTATTTAAACTATGTAAGTTGACACTGGAGACTGACTGACTGAGAAATTCACAAGCTAACTAATGTGGTTTTCATTTGAAATTCAGCCAAAGCTGGCAGTAAAACATGTTTGTCTTCTCATTTTAATACAGATGTAACATGATTGGTCTTAAAGTGTAGAAGCAAATATTCCCATCTCTGGGGAAATGCTATAAATAGTGGCTGTTTCTTGTTAGTCTGGCTTCAATGTACCCAATGTGCCAAACACAAAGCCATCAAATACACGATTAACTGAAAAGGTATCAAAGTGGATAAAGGTATAACTCTTCTCTAATCCGGACTTTCAGTATCTCTCTGCACTGTGTATTTCTTGGTGTGCGGTGCTGTTTACTCATGTTACAGTTACTAAGTGATGGGGAAACTGTTTCCTGAGTGCCCTACAAAATACATAAATTCAATGGTTGCTCATTATTCTGTGATCTGGGATAAATACTGTAGAGCACAAACAGAGGAACTCATAAGTGTCTTTTCTGGAATCCTGAATAGCTGTTCCAGGAATTCGCTCTACGCTGCTTTTTTGCCTCCTGTTTTTATGGAGTGCCATATCTACAAAAAGTAGCATTTGAAAAGTGACTCTGTTTTGAACACCATAGACACAAAAGACAATTAAGAATGTGCTCTAGCACTGAGCCAAGTTTGGACAGCACTTTGAAAGTAGCAGTCCTAGGAATGACCTGAGAAAAAAGAGATGCTAAGGTAATAGATTGTGAAGTTCTTTACCTATCTGTGATTGATGTAACAGAACCTGTTCTACAAAGGAGCTAGCAGCTTAGTTACGTTTTCATTCTTCTTCCTTTCCCTATTTCAGAAATCAGCCCTCTCTTGGAATTTGTGATACTGGGCAAAGCTCCAGGGAACAAGAGAACATGAAAATTGTCCAGGCTTCTGAGCCTGTTAGGCATTCATGCACAAAAGAGAAGAAATAATTTGTAGACCAAAAAAAATAGCCCGACCCCAGGAAAAATAATTTTAAAAAAGACTTCTCTGAAGATGTGTAATACTCACTATAATGTTGTTTTATGGCCTGGCATCAGTTCTACATATGTTAACAAAATGTCTATCCATTAGCCCTTTGATGTGGCTTCCAGATAGCCCTATGCTCAAACTAAATCATGCGTACAATAGAGCTTTGAGTAGAAATGTTTTAAGAGCCTGGTGCCATCACGTTATGGCTCCATTATTGCATTTTCTCCATGTGGATTGTTTTGTTATTCATTCCAAAATGTTGAAGGGTTTGTAAGTGCACTTCTGTGAGCCTCTCTCCTGTGACTGTAAGCTGATGCCTGCCACTGCTAGAATTTAAGAGAACTTAAAAGAATTTGAGAGG